CAGATGAGCCCTCTTCCCACCAAGACGGCGGAAAGGTGTTCCTTTCTTAATGATTGGAACAGGCATCCAGTCTCTTTCATCTGAGTGGCTGGATAAAGAAAGGCAGCGAGAAAGGGATAAAGTGAGGCAGCTTGAGCCAAAAGAGCACCTGGTCCAGGAGAAGGGGCTGAGCTGGGGAAGTGCACCTAAGGGGACACCAAGCATGACCACTGTGGAACCAGATGTCAGGGTGTCACACGGTCTCCTTTCTTTCAGCAGTTTCCCCCACCCCGCCACACCCTACCACACACACACACACACCCCTACAGAGAACATTACCATGGTTACCCCAAACCTCCACAAGCAAGTTCAAGGCAATTGGTGCAGAACGTGCTAACCGCAGCAATGCTGGGTCCTCTGTCACACGCCTCAAAAGCAGAGGGTGACACGCAGAGGCCAGGAGTAGGGACTGTTATGGAAAGGACTGTTAACACACTGGTCACAAGACTAGGCCTAGGCGTCAGGTGTCTCCTTCAGCTGAGCAGGAGCTCCACTCAACCTGCGTCTGGAGCAGAATCTGTGTCCAAAGGCCACAATGAAGCCCCAGCTTTTGAATTTTAGCCTGGTGTTTAGATTACCGTGCTGAGCCTTTCAGTTAATAACTTCAGAAAGTCTTTTTTTTTTTTTTTTTTTTGGTACTAGGAATCGAACTCAGGACCTCACGTTGCCAAGCAGGCGCTATGCCACTGAGCCAAACCCTCTGCCCCTCAGAAAGTCTTAAGGAATTGACTGTGCTGCCCTCAGGTGGTTATGGTACAATTCGAGGAACTTGTAGAAAAAAGCACGGAGATGGAGATGGGAAGTAAACCTATATGGTTTGGGAGAAGTTTCGAATCACTGGGACAATGCGTGTGGCTGTATAAACCCTACAGCCACTAATCTGCCAAACCCTAGAAAACTGCTGTCCCCTCTGTTCACCTACTGGCTGAGCCACACTGGCAGGGATCGCCATCTAGTGGCAGACCCCAGGAGCTACAAGATTTTAACTCTAAAGCCTACTCTTAATTTCTTCCTGGGTTTGACCTCCTTTGTACCTGATGCTGAGGGTCATTTCCGCCGAGGTCCACAGCAATCCTTTAGGCCTATGACCTAGAATGGCTTGTACCTTCTTTAGTGGTTGTGGAAAGGGGAATTAAAGAATAGTATGTTGTGACACATTAAAATTACATAAACTTCACATTTCAGTGACTATAAATAAAATTTTATTAGACAGTCATATTCATTTGTTTGCATATTTTGCTTTTTTTCTTTTTGTTGCCATTGTTTTTAGAGGTCTAAGAAATTCTTAGGGTCTCACTGTAGCCCAGGCTGATACTATGTAGCCCAGGCAAGCCTCCAATTTACAATCCTCCTGCCTCATCCTACAGAGTGCTGGGATTACAAGCATGCACCACCACACCCGGCTACTTGTTCACATATTTTCTATGCCTGTTTCCACACTACAAAAAATGGCAAAGTTGAATATTTGTCCCAGAGAACATTTGGTCCACAAAGCCACAAATATTTACTACCAGGCCCTTTATAGAAAATGTCTGCCAACTTTTGCTTAGAGCAGTAATAGCTGAATGGCTGGTGATGTCAAAAGGGCCAGGGAGCTCACTACCTCCAAGCACATTCACAGGCTAGTCCGTTCATCCATTTCCTAAGTAATGTGAGAGACACAGTCAAAGAGAAAGTTCTTTTACCCACCCAGCACTCACATTCCAAGATGAGAAGTTCCTTTGGCATTCCCTCTGCCCTGCACAATTACCTCATTGAAAAACTTCACATCCTCTCTGGTCTCTGTTCTCACTGAAATAGCTCGAAGCTGCAATATGACTCAGTGGGAGGGCACTCAGCAGCATGCACAGGGCCCAGGGTTTGGTCCCCAGCACCACAAGAAAAAGAAAATAGCATGCTTGCCTCTCTCTTCCTCCCTCTAGCACTACGAAATTCTTAGCTGCAAGGTGCTTTCCTCTAAGGAATTCCTAAATTCACTCATTCCGCACCCATCTATCAATACATGTATCAGGCACCATGATCAGCATTCACAATACAAAGGTGCATGAAGTGGAGGGTGAGTCTTCAAGACACTGAGCTTTGAAGGGGACTGGGAGGAGGCTATGAGGGTAGTTTAAAGAGAGGCAGGAGGCAAAGAGGAAATCCTGCCAGCACCACCTGGGGCATCAAGGCAGACCAGAAAAAGTGGCAGGGAGAGACACGCAGGGAGGAGGAAAGTTAGAAGCAGGGGAGCTCATCTCAGGCCCATCTCAGCAGCATGGGCAGAGACGTAGAGATAAAGACGTAGACAAAAGTGTACAATGGGCCTGATATCGTGGGAGCTACAGGACCCCGAGTATTACACTTCTCTATTCTATTCTGGCACCAGACTACTGCCTTTTACATCCCGGTGTTCCCTATACATTTGAAAGCTCTTCCAACAGCAACAACTGTCTGAATGATTGACATTATTCTTGGCTTACATTACCACATTTTCATAGCATCCGCCCCACCCCCACCTGGGATTGAACTCAAGGCCTTTGCAGTAAGCTCAATTTCAGCCCTTTTTAAAAATTCATTTATTTGTTGATTTATTTATTTTAAGATAGGGTCTCACTAAGTCAATAAATCGCCCAAGCTGTGCTCAAACTTTTAATCCTCCAGCCTCAGCCTCCAACAGTGCTGGGATTACAGGATTGCACCACCATGCTCAGCTTCATAGCACCTTTTAAAGGGAGTTTTATTACCATTTTAAAGACCAGTGGGGGTTGGGAAAAATAAGAAATATGCCTAAGGCCTCCTACTTTAAAAATAGCAACATCTAAGTATAACCCCTGGAGGAACTTTTATTCATGTGCACAAAGAGACAGCACCAGAACATTAAATCAACAGTGCCTCTAAGAATAAAACTGGGAAACAACGTCAATTTCTATCAAGAATGTCTAAGAGAACAGGTAACCCATAGTGTATTCATACAATGGAAAACTACTGAACCATGAAAATGGATAAATTAGAACCATGGATAAACTGAACCATGAAAATGGATAAATTAGAAGCCCACATATCAGCATGCATTAATATAAGAAAGTGACATTAATATTAAAAAAAATAGTGAATAAAAAAATACAAGTTACAAACCAGGTATGATGGTGCGTGTCTATAATCCTCGCACTCAGGGAGACTGTGACAGGATTTCAAGTTCAAGCCCAGCCTGGGCAATTTAGCTACTTGACAAGACCCTGTCTAGAAATAAACAAGTGCCAGGGATGTAGCTCAGTGTAGAGTTCCTCAATCCAATCCCAGTAGCACACACACACACACACACACACACACACACACACACAGAATAAACAGTATATAAAGGTGTTCCTCCATTAACAACCAAGTTGTGTCCTAGATTATTAGTTGGATTGGTGGCTAAAGGAGGAGTTGCATATAGTATGTATACTACAATATTCCAAACAAAGAAATGGCCAAAGTAAACCCCAAACTTGATGATTTTGCTTTTATTTGCATAACTCTTACATGCAGTACTGTGATATATAACAGAACATAAAACTACAAGTGCTGTACTGTACAGTACAATCAGCAAAAATTACAGTATTGCATAAACAAGGTGTACTGTACCCCAAGAAAAGACACTGAGACTTTGTAAAAGACAACAACAAAAGATGGGTCAGAGGTCTGAACAGCAGTTAACTGGATATGTCATTAAATGAAGAACGTCTGTATAATAACAGTCATGTAAAGTTTCAAATCATATACAACAATATGCATGTTACCTTAGGATATATATGTAGGAGAAGTCTGAAGAAGTGTATGGGAATGAGAGACGCTGAACTCAGGACAATATTCTTTCTGAAGAAAAAGGAGCCCATCAGGGATGGGGGAAAGGGCAGTGGAAGAAGAGGAAGCAGATACAGTTGAGTACCTGCAGTAGTGTGGTATTTACAGGAATCCGTATAGGTTTAATGTTGCTGACTCAGAAGATGAAGGTAGGGTGGGGAGGCGAAGGCAGTGCGAAGATGACCAGATGGGGGAGCCGGGGCGCTGGGGCACACACCTGTAATCCTTGCTGAGACAGGCAAGTTTGAAGCCAGCCTGGGCTCCACAGTAAGCTCAAGAGCAGTCCAAAATACATAGCGGGAGTCTGCCTCAAAAAACCAAAGAGGGAGGTACAGAGAGCCCAGTCCTTGTCACGGCCCAAGAAGTTTATCTTTGTAATCCCACGAAAAGTTATTGGAATTCTAGCGAGTTAATTCCAATCTACCACTTCTAGTGCAACCCATGGTGAGAAGGAAGACACTAAGGCATATTTGTAGTTATGGGGAACCAAGAGGTCCTAAGTCCAGCCACAGTGATGGCCACCTGTACAGAGGAAAATATAAATCTTCTGAAGCTTAAAAACAACCTACACACTTTAGCCATACATAGGTAAATAGATATGTGGCTATATGCATACACATATTTGAGAGATGGAAGAAGGAAATGATGAATGCAAACGAGGATACTGTTTCCTTGGGGCCTGGCACGAGACGAGATATATGCGTACACTGTATGTGCAGCTACGTGTTGCGCACGTATACACGTCACCTGGAAAGTCATTCATGAACCAATGATGCCAATGTATCATGACCAAGGATCGTGCTGAATGTACTCTGTGCATTAAAAGCCGTAACAAGAGAAAGGTGAGGCAGGAGATTATGTATTTTTGAGATATTTTGCAGGGAACCCAAGGACCTCCAGACTCATTTCATCCTCACTAGTTTTTAGATTCACTCCCTCAAGCCAGAGGCCCCACGTGCTCTTCGCTGCCTCCAATGGGAACACTGAGAGACGGGACCGAATTCCCGCGCGCCAGCGGAGCTACAGAGGAGCCCGGAAATGGCGGGCGGAGGGAGCGACGCGAGCAGTGGGCGGGGCTACAGGGGCTGCCCGGCGCAAGGTCCCTAGTGCGCAAGCGCAGTACCACGCCTCGCCGTCATGGCGCCGGCGCCGTCCAGTCAGCCGCGGGTGGTGGCGGCGACTTCCCCTCAGGAAGCCGGGTCTCCGCCTCCTCCTCCCACCCCGCCTGCTCGGCGGCGGAGGCGGCGGCGGCGGCAGCGGTTGTTCCTGCCTCTCCGCCACCTCCACCGCCGCCTGTCCTTCGGCCGGCGGCGTTGGCGGGGAGGGGGACGGTAGTTGTAGATCCCGCCCCTGCCTCAGCGAAGGTGAGTTCCCGCCCGGCGGCGGGGGCGGCCCGTCCTCCAGC